ATGACCAGAGACTGCGGACACAGTACAGGAGATGACCAGAGACTGTGGACACAGTGCGGGGATGACCAGAGACTGCGGACACAGTACGGGGATGACCAGAGACTGCGGACACAGTACGGGGATGACCAGAGACTGCGGACAGCACAGGGATGACCAGAGACTGCGGACAGCACAGGGATGACCAGAGACTGTGGATAGTACAGGGGATGACTGCTGACCTTTGGGGAGGGGGGGAGCGGGTACCTGAATTTGACAGATACCCGCTCCCACTTCCGCGGAGTTGTTCTTTCATCTTACCTGTTCCTCTATCCAGCCGCGCACTGTCTTCCCGGCTTCTAAGCGAGAAGCACTTGCGCTTTGTGATTGGTCCGGCAGCTTCTGGGATCTGTCATGTGTCCCAGGTGCCGCCTTACCATTCACAAAAAGCACCGCTTCCTGCGCATGCGCACTTGGCACCCGGCTGTCATGCCCACACTACAGAAGCTGGGAAGACCGCGCCGCTGGATAGAGGAACGGGTAAGATGAAAGAACAACTCCACGGAAGTGGGAGCGGGTATCTGTCAAATTCAGGTACCCGCTCCCCCCCCCCTCCGCAAAGGTCAGCAGTCATCTCTATAAGGTCCCGCTGTAGAGCTGAGCGGCCGGCCCGGTATTCTGACACGGCGGCAGTGGAAATACCGGACCGGCCGCTCCATATTCGCTCCATAAGACGCACTGACATTTTCCCCCCTTTTTTGGGGGGAAAAAAGTGCGTCTTATGGATGCGAAAAATACGGTATTGCCTGTGCCATGCGCAACACAGCAAAGAAGGGGAGATTATAGAACTGAATGCATAGTGTAAAAAGGAAGGATTTGGGTGTCTAGAGTAGAGATGAGCGAATCGAACATGGCGAAGTGGAATTCGTTTCGAATATTGGGAAATATTCGATTCGCGCCGAATCCGAAAATTAGCCAACTTCGGATGCACGAATCGAATTTTCCCAAAAATGGCGGCGACATGTGTGGCGACGGAGCGGGGATCTCTGGGAAGGCGCGCAGACAAGGCGCGCTGACCCATAGTGCATTCATTCATGACATGTGATCGCATTAGCCAATCAGCAGCCAGCCAGCCAGCACTGTGTAATGGTGGAGCTATAAATTGCGGCCATCTTACAATTCTCCATTAGCCTCCGGTCATTCAAGAGAGACAGACCTGTCTGTATTAGGGACAGAGTTAGGGCCAGAGAGACTTTAGGGACACAGAATCGTTACTCGGGGACACAGAATTGTTACTCAGGGACAGACACAGAATTGTTACTGAGGGACACAGAATTGTTACTGAGGGACACAGAATTGTTACTGAGGGACACAGAATTGTTACTCAGGGACAGACACAGAATTGTTACTCAGGGACACAGAATTGTTACTCAGGGACACAGAATTGTTACTCAGGGACACAGAATTGTTACTCAGGGACAGACACAGAATTGTTACTGAGGGACACAGAATTGTTACTGAGGGACACAGAATTGTTACTGAGGGACACAGAATTGTTACTCAGGGACACAGAATTGTTACTCAGGGACAGACAGAATTGTTACTGAGGGACACAAAATTGTTACTGAGGGACACAGAATTGTTACTCAGGGACACAGAATTGTTACTCAGGGACACAGAATTGTTACTCAGGGACAGACACAGAATTGTTACTGAGGGACACAGAATTGTTACTGAGGGACACAGAATTGTTACTCAGGGACACAGAATTGTTACTCAGGGACACAGAATTTATACTCAGGGACACAGAATTGTTACTGAGGGACAGACACAGAATTGTTACTGAGGGACACAGAATTGTTACTGAGGGACACAGAATTGTTACTGAGGGACACAGAATTGTTACTCAGGGACACAGAATTGTTACTCAGGGACAGACACAGAATTGTTACTCAGGGACACAGAATTGTTACTCAGGGACACAGAATTGTTACTGAGGGACACAGAATTGTTACTCAGGGACAGACACAGAATTGTTACTCAGGGACACAGAATTGTTACTCAGGGACACAGAATTGTTACTCAGGGACACAGAATTGTTACTGAGGGACACAGAATTGTTACTCAGGGACACAGAATTGTTACTCAGGGACAGACACAGAATTGTTACTGAGGGACACAGAATTGTTACTGAGGGACACAGAATTGTTACTCAGGGACACAGAATTGTTACTCAGGGACAGACACAGAATTGTTACTCAGGGACACAGAATTGTTACTCAGGGACACAGAATTGTTACTCAGGGACAGACACAGAATTGTTACTGAGGGACACAGAATTGTTACTCAGGGACACAGAATTGTTACTCAGGGACACAGAATTGTTACTCAGGGACAGACACAGAATTGTTACTCAGGGACACAGAATTGTTACTCAGGGACAGACACAGAATTGTTACTCAGGGACACAGAATTGTTACTCAGGGACACAGAATTGTTACTCAGGGACAGACACAGAATTGTTACTGAGGGACACAGAATTGTTACTCAGGGACACAGAATTGTTACTCAGGGACACAGAATTGTTACTCAGGGACAGACACAGAATTGTTACTCAGGGACACAGAATTGTTACTCAGGGACACAGAATTGTTACTCAGGGACAGACACAGAATTGTTACTGAGGGACACAGAATTGTTACTGAGGGACACAGAATTGTTACTCAGGGACAGACACAGAATTGTTACTGAGGGACACAGAATTGTTACTGAGGGACACAGAATTGTTACTCAGGGACACAGAATTGTTACTCAGGGACACAGAATTTATACTCAGGGACACAGAATTGTTACTGAGGGACAGACACAGAATTGTTACTGAGGGACACAGAATTGTTACTGAGGGACACAGAATTGTTACTGAGGGACACAGAATTGTTACTCAGGGACACAGAATTGTTACTCAGGGACAGACACAGAATTGTTACTCAGGGACACAGAATTGTTACTCAGGGACACAGAATTGTTACTGAGGGACACAGAATTGTTACTGAGGGACAGACACAGAATTGTTACTCAGGGACACAGAATTGTTACTCAGGGACACAGAATTGTTACTGAGGGACACAGAATTGTTACTCAGGGACACAGAATTGTTACTCAGGGACAGACACAGAATTGTTACTGAGGGACACAGAATTGTTACTGAGGGACACAGAATTGTTACTGAGGGACACAGAATTGTTACTCAGGGACACAGAATTGTTACTCAGGGACAGACACAGAATTGTTACTCAGGGACACAGAATTGTTACTCAGGGACACAGAATTGTTACTCAGGGACAGACACAGAATTGTTACTGAGGGACACAGAATTGTTACTGAGGGACACAGAATTGTTACTGAGGGACACAGAATTGTTACTCAGGGACACAGAATTGTTACTCAGGGACACAGAATTGTTACTCAGGGACAGACACAGAATTGTTACTCAGGGACACAGAATTGTTACTCAGGGACACAGAATTGTTACTCAGGGACAGACACAGAATTGTTACTGAGGGACACAGAATTGTTACTGAGGGACACAGAATTGTTACTCAGGGACACAGAATTGTTACTCAGGGACACAGAATCGTTACTGAGGGACACAGAATTGTTACTCAGGGACACAGAATTGTTACTCAGGGACACAGAATTGTTACTCAGGGACAGACACAGAATTGTTACTCAGGGACACAGAATTGTTACTCAGGGACACAGAATTGTTACTCAGGGACACAGAATTGTTACTCAGGGACAGACACAGAATTGTTACTGAGGGACACAGAATTGTTACTGAGGGACACAGAATTGTTACTCAGGGACACAGAATTGTTACTCAGGGACACAGAATCGTTACTGAGGGACACAGAATTGTTACTCAGGGACACAGAATCGTTGAATTAAAGAGTATGTCAGACAACACGCAGAGGAGTGGCAGAGGAGGCAATGTTTCAGGAGCGAGCAGGCGTGGCAGCAGAGGAAGGGGTCGAGGCAGCACTAGTCGCAGCCAGAGGCCAGTGCTCCCGGTGTCATCCAGCGGTCGTGTCTCCACCGACAACCCTGCCGTCATCGATTGGTTGGCTCGGTCGTCTTCCTCTTCCCAGGTCACCTCTGACACCTACAGCCAACGGTCGGTGGGTACGTCAGACACAACCGTTAGTTGGCATGGCCCGGGAGCAAGCCCACTGAAATCACGTGTCCTCTACCTGCCCCTGTCCTTTGGTGTTCCCTCACCAAGCGAAGTATCGCATGCTGTGGGCTCAGCCCCACTGTACAGTGAGGAAGAGCTAACAGAGGGCGGTCAGGAACGGGGGGAGACATCCGCCTCTTCAGCAGCCAGGCGAAGAAGTACTGGCGAGGAGAGTGGCTCGGTAGCCGGTCTAGAGACAGGTCTGTCTCCTGACCCACACGCAGCCGAGGGGGCTAGTAGTGAGGCGGAGACCCTAATTGATGATGATGAGGCTGATCGCACTTGGCAGCCTCGTCGTCATCTGCCAGGCCCGTAATCTGCCATGGACCCCCGTACCGACTCCTCATGCTGCTGCCAGGCCCGTAATCTGTCATGGGCCCCTGTACCGCCTCCTCATGCTGCTGCCAGGTCCACAGTGTCTCATGGGTCCCTGTACGGCCTCCCATTGCTGCTGTCTCCATCGCCACACTCTGCCATGTGCCACTTTCAGGTCTCCTCACACTGCTGGTGTGTTCCATTTTGTCATAGGGTGCTGGCAGATTACGGGCCTCCCATTGCTGCTGCCAGGCCCGTAATCTGCCATGGGCCCCCGTACCACCTCCTCATGCTGCTGCCAGGTCCAGAGTGTCTCATGGGACCCTGTACGGCCTCCCATTGCTGCTGTCTCCATCGCCACACTCTGCCATGTGCCACTTTCAGGTCTCCTCACACTGCTGGTGGGTTCCATTTTGTCATAGGGTGCTGGCAGATTACGGGCCTCCCATTGCTGCTGCCAGGCCCGTAATCTGTCATGGGCCCCTGTACCGCCTCCTCATGCTGCTGCCAGGTCCAGAGTGTGTCATGGGTCCCTGTACCGCCTCCCATTGCTGCTGTCTCCATCGCCACACTCTGCCATGTGCCACTTTCAGGTCTCCTCACACTGCTGGTGGGTTCCATTTTGTCATAGGGTGCTGGCAGATTACGGGCCTCCCATTGCTGCTGCCAGGCCCGTAATCTGTCATGGGCCCCCGTACCGCCTCCTCATGCTGCTGCCAGGTCCAGAGTGTCTCATGGGTCCCTGTACGGCCTCCCATTGCTGCTGTCTCCATCGCCACACTCTGCCATGTGCCACTTTCAGGTCTCCTCACAGTGCTGGTGGGTTCCATTTTGTCATAGGGTGCTGGCAGATTACGGGCCTCCCATTGCTGCTGCCAGGCCCGTAATCTGCCATGGGCCCCCGTACCGCCTCCTCATGCTGCTGCCAGGTCCAGAGTGTCTCATGGGTCCCTGTACGGCCTCCCATTGCTGCTGTCTCCATCGCCACACTCTGCCATGTGCCACTTTCAGGTCTCCTCACACTGCTGGTGGGTTCCATTTTGTCATAGGGTGCTGTATGGCCTCCCATTGCTGCTGCCTCCACCGCCACACTGTGGCTCCACACTCTGGTTTTGGCCCCGTGACTGCCCAAATGAGTGAAGTGTGCGGTGATTCTAAGATCGACGGCACTCATCTGCATGTCATACTGACTGACAGTATTATTTCTCTTCCCCAGCAGACTCCAAGGGCATTTAAATTAAAGGTACAGTGTTCTGCACTAATATAAAGGCTCTCTGAAGCCTAGAAACACCCTTTTTATAAGTTAAATTCGCAGCGAATATATTCGACTCGAATCGAATTTATTCCGCGAATTCGCCGAATCAGCCAAATCGAATTTTTGAATACTTCGCTCATCTCTAGTCTAGAGCACTGGGCTGACTTTTCATTGAGGTACAACCTATATACTAAAGATGGTTTGCACCAAAATGAAAGGGGGTCTTCTGTGCTGTGGGAGAATTTTATGGGAAGGTTGGAGGAATATTTAACCAACCACTTGCCTATCGGGCACTTTTCAGTGCTGTTGCACTTTGAATGTGCGGTCATGCAACACTGTACCTAAACAAAAATTGTATCATTTTTTGAGAGAGATAGAACTTTCTTTTGGTGGTATTTAATCACCATTGGGATGTTTATTTTTCTGCTAAACAAACTAAAATTTATTTATAAATTTTGTAAATGAGTAATTTTTCTTCTTCACTGATGTGCGCTAATGAGGCTGCAGTAATGGGCACTTATAGGCGGCACTGATGGGCATTGACAGACATCACTGATGGGCACTGAAAGGCAGCACTCATATATGGCACGGATAGGGGGCACTGATTGGAACTGGTAGGCGGCACTGATAGATGGCACTGACTGGCACTGATTGGTGGCACTGATGGGCGGGACTGAAAGGCAGCTGAGGGGCACTGATATGTGGCATTAATATGCACTGGTAGGCACTGATATGTGGCATGTGGCATTAATGTGCACTGGTAGACACGGATATGTGGCATTGATGTGCACTGGTATGTGGCATTGAAGGGCACTTACAGGTGGCATTGATGTGCACTGACAGGTGGCACTGATGGGGCTACACTGATCATCAGTGCCCTGACGATCAGTGTAGATGTCCCCTCTGAGGAATGCCAATTACCAGCTCTCCTCTGCTCATGAAATGTCAACGGGAGGAGAGGACTGCCGATAACTGGCATTTCCTATTTACATGTGATCAGCTGTGATTGAACACAGCTGATCACTTGACAGAGCCAACGTCAATGGCTCTTTACAGTGATCGGTGATCCGCTGTATCCCAGGGACACAATGTACCACCGATCGCCACAGTGCCCGAGGGCGCACATAAGCAGTTAGAGGGAACGACAGAACTGTCACCTGCCCGTCATTACCTTATATGGCGGGCGGGAGGCAGTTGAACTAGGATGGGGGGGGGGATTAGATTAAAATGGGGCAGACAGATCAGACAAAGGTTATTTCTCACTGGTAAGTGGAATGGGTATAGATGGGGGGAGGGCTATGGCAGGTGATCAGAAGATTCCCATGTTATAAACAACCACTCAAAATAGTAATATTTGTACAAAAAAAACATGCAAAATGCATGTGCAAAATGTGTCAATGAATTAAAGTGTTCGTTGCCAGAAGTCTAGTTTGATGCCAGAAGTATGCCAAGCAAAATAGGCGAGTTAGAAGCTTTTGTACATGAAGAGAACTATAATTTAATTGGTATTGCTGAATCTTGGCTTCATTCTTCATTAATATTCCTGGCTACACTCTCTTTCAGAAAGACAGAGTAAAAAGGGGAGTTGGTGGTGTCTGTGTGTGAGAAGTGATCTCAAAACAAGCTTGAAGGAGGACTTGGTTGATGGAGAGTGTGATGAGGCTGAAGCATTATGGATGGAGCTACACATGGGTGTAGTTCCTACAAAGGTAATCATTGGAGTTTGTTATAGGCCACCCAGTGTTAATGAGGAGGTGGAGACTCCACAACTTGGACAGATCGAAAGGGCTGCAAGGACTGGGTAAGTGATATTATTGGGGGATTTTAACTATCTGGAAATTGACAGGCGTAACGGCACTGCAGAAACAGTTAAAGGGCAAATAATTTTTAAACCCATTACAAAACAATTTCATGGTACAGTTCATAGGAGCCCCAACTAGGAATGATGCTCTACTGGACTAGGTAATGTCAAACCATGCACAGCCTATCACTAATGTTCATATAAATGAATATCTGGGTAGCAGTGACCATAACATGATTTAATTTAACGTTAGCTGTAAACAAAAAGCACATAAGGGAAAGATAAAGACACTGAACTTTCAGAGCACATTTTCCTAAGATGAGGGCTGCTCACCAAGACTTAGACTGGGAGGGAATACTGGCATCAATGAACACTGAACAGAAATGGGAGTTCTTCAAAAAATGCAAACACACTGTAAAATATTTTCCCAAGCACAAGTTTAAAAGGCCGAAGTTAAAAAAAAAAAGTGATAAATAGTAAGAAAAGAGCTTTTAAAAAATATAAAAATGAAGGAATACCATCATTTAAATATTACAAAGAATGTAACAGAATATGTAAAAAAGGAAATCAAAAGGCACAAAAATTGAAAAATAACAGATTGCAAAAGATAGCATTGCAAACCCTCAAAAATTCTTCAAATATATGAATAGTAAAAAGGTCAGGTCTTAGCATGTACAGTAGGCCCTTTACAAAATAATCTAGAGTGGGTGACTGGGGACAAGGAGAAGGCAAATTTAATAAACACCTTCTTCAGCTCTGTGTATACAAAGGAACATGGGGTAGCTCATTTCCATATTGAGGAGAATATTGACACAGCCCCAAATGATCCACAATGGCTCAAAATGTATATGGTCCAGAAATATTTAGACAGAAAAAAGGTGAATAAAGCACCTGGAGCAGCTGGCATACACCCACAAGTCCTAAAAAAAATTTAAGCTCTGTCATTTCAAAGCCATTGTTTCTAATTTTTAGGGACTCTTTAATGACTGGCATAGTACTACTGGATTACAGATTTGCTTATTGAGAAGCTTTTACCTGATGCCTTTCTGACACATTTGACCCTCTGGCTTCTTCAGGAGAGTGGAGAGATTGATATAGCATAAATGTTTTTCCAAAAGAATAAACAAACCACACACACCAGGACTCACTGTCAAAACAGTGTCTGCAGCCAGAGGGGCCATGTGGGATACCCCTCGGAATCCTGGAATCAGTAAACAAGCATGCGCACAGGGTTACAGTGATGTACTGGATAAAATATAAAGGATTCCTATACTGTCCACTCTGACAAGAGACCAAGAAAAAGTTTTGGATTCTGTACAAATCATTAGTAAGCCCCTCATCTGGAATATGCTGTTCAGTTTTGGGGCTTTTCACAAAAAGGATATTGGAGAATTGGAAAAAGTGCAAAAAAGGGTAACCAAACTGATAAGAGGTATGCAACGGCTCTGCTATGATGCTATGATGAAAGATTAGCTGAAATGAGTGGTCAATATAGTGAACTTGGTGTAGATTTACTCACTTTTAGGTCATAAAAAGGAGAAGGGAGCACTCTTTAAATTTGGAAAATGTACATTTTGAAAAGAGTTTTAACCTCCAAACATAGAAAGACTTCTTCACAGTAAGAGCTGTGAAAATGTGGAATACACTAACTCAAGAGCTAGATTTGGACATCTCGGTGGAAAGGTTTAAAAAAGCTGAATGCCCTCCTAAATGCAAAAAATATACTGTAACTGGATATTAACATTTATAGCTAATATAGCCAGATATTGTTGATCCAGGGTACATCCAATTGCCTTCTGGGCAATCAGGAAGTCATTTATTTTTTTTTCCCTGTTGGAGCAATTCAGAACATGCTTCAGAAGGGTTTTATTGCCTTGGTCTGGATCAACTGTGGGCATGGAAAACTTTTGCACGTGCCTGTTTTCCTATTCCAGACCTCTGGGAGAATGGAACAAAGGCACCCCAGGTGGCCTTTGCTGATTTAACAGTGGGTCCTGGTGCTTTTATTTGAATGGACATTTATGCTTTATCAGTTTCTCTCCACCTCCTGAGGAAACCGGAGGGCTAAACACTTTCCAGGAAAAGCTACTTTACCTTCTCAGCAAGCAAATCTGTGTGATTTAATAAATGTCTAAGGAAGTAAATTAATTAAATTTGATGTATCATGGTGTGACAAGGGTCTATATTGCTAAACGTATTGGGAAACCCCTCCAAATCATTGGATTCAGGTTTTCCAATCACTTCCATGTCCACAGGTGTATAAAATCAAGCACCTAGGCATGCAGACAAATGCTTCTACAAACATTTGTGAAAAAATGGGTCGCTCTCAGAAATATAGGGAATTCAAGCGTGGCACTGTGATAGGTTGCCACCTGTGCACCCGTGAAATTTCCTTGCTACTAAATATTCCATGGTCAACTGTTAGTGATATTATAACAAAATGGAAGCAACTGGGAACAACAGCAACTCAGCCACGAAGTGGTAGGCCACATAAAATGACAAAGCGGGGTCACCAGAAGTCGCCAATTGTCTTCAGAGTCAATAGCTAAAGACCTCCAAACTTCATGTGGCCTTCAGATTAGCACAACAACAGTGCATAGCAAGCTTCATGCAATGGGTTTTCATGGACAAGCAGCTGCATCCAAGCCTTACATCACCAAGTGCATCGCAAAGCATCGAATGCAGTGGTGAAAAGCACACCGCCAATGGACTCTAGCACAGTGGAGAAGCGTTCTCTGGAGTGACAAGTCACACTTATCTGGCAATCTGATGGACGTGTCTGGGTTTGGTGGTTGCCAGGAGAACGGTACTTGCTTGGCTGCATTGTGCCAAGTGTAAACTTTGGTGGCGGGGGGGGGGGGGGATTATGGTGTGGGGTGGTTTTTCAGGGGTTGGGCTTGGACTATTCCTTCCAGTTAAAGGAACACTTAAGGCGTTAGCATAACAAAGATATTTTGGATAATTTCATGCTCCCAACTTTGTGGGAACAGTGTGGGGATGGTCCCGTCCTATTCCAACACGACTGCGAACCAGTGCACAAAGCAAGGTCCATAAAGACATGGATGAACGAGTTTGGGGTGGAAGAACTTGACTGGCCTGCACAGAGTCCTAACCTCAACCTGATAGAACACCTCTGAGGTGAATTAAAGCGGAGACTGCGAGCCAGGCCTTCTCGTTCGATATCAATGCCTGACCTCACAAATTCGCTTCT